TATGCCCTACTACACAGGGGCCAAGTGCCCTCCAGCTTCCCGCAGAGCGAAGGGAGCTGAAGGGTTTCCTTTTTTCCCACAGAGCACGGTGGTGTTGATTCCACACAGTTTGTGTGAGACAGGAGGGGATCAAAATGAATTTAGAAGAAGGTTGTAGAGACCCTTTTCCCATTGTATTCTGCTCAAGCTATCTCCCCACAAAATAAGTCGAGAACTATGGTGTTTGAGAAGAGACTTCAAGAACAGGGAGACTGAGCACAAGAGGGGGAAAAAAGACTGCAACTTACTCCCAGGCACTGGAGACAATTTAAAAAGGAAAAAAAGAAGGTTGGAATCCATCAGTGTTCAGTTAGTCATCTTCTCCTTCATCCTCCTCTCCTTCCTCCCCTTCATCATCATCTTCATCTCCTTCACCTTCATCCTCATCCCCTTCTTCATCAGTGTCTTCCAATCCTTCTTCCTCTTCATCATCATCTTCATCTCCTTCACCTTCCCCTTCCTCATCATCCATATCAGCAACCAAGTGGTACTGCAATGGATTTGGCCAAATAGCATCTTTGATGGCCTCTCCTAACTCATCTGTGCCTGCATCAGCATGGTTGGAAGCAGGTAAAGAAGCTCTCGGGTTCTTCATGCTGCCGCTTCCTACTGGCTTTATTCTGTGTTTGGCTTGAACGTTTTGTCAGATCCTTTCCAGATTTCCATCTGATTTCAGTGGACTTTGAAGAAGGATCACCACTCTCATTCAGATGAAATTCTATGGAGAGAACTTTTATTTTTGAAGTAAGGATTTTCATCAAAATAAAAATCTATTCGGTAACCTGATTTTACATCTTCAAATTCTGTCACTTCGACGCTGGTCAAATAATGTAATGCCGATTTGTCTTCCTCTCCAAGCAGTGCAGACACTTGTGGATGGTTAAAAAATGTTGTTACTCAAAAATTTGGGATTTTGGCAATCAATTCTGACCTCTTATGAAAAAAATGGTTGGCAGAGTTTGTTATATTTCTGTTCTACTTTCAATATCTCCTCACAGCCCTGTTCCTTAAGTCTATTTCATTTTGTACTTCATCAATATGTTCAATTGCTTCTTGTTCTTTTTCTCCCTTGGGCAGGCCCGTCAAGGCAGACGCGGCCTCAGACTTGGGGGCCGGAGACTGTGGGGGCTTCCTGGTCTGAGGGGTGAGCGGAGATCTCTATTTGTATTCTTAAAGAACCAACTTTCTATTTTTAAAAAATTTGTTGATATGGGTTTTCACTGTGTTGCCCAGGCTGGTGTCAAACTCCTGGATTCAAGTGATCCTCCTGCCTAAGCCTCCTGAGTACCTGGGACTATAGATATTTTGCACCCAGCCCAACTTTTGATTTTTGTAAGTTTTTAAATTATGTAATTATTTTATTTCTCATAAATGTCTATACTTGCTTATATTACCTTTTGGCTTCCTTTAAATTTAACATTTTTTCCAATTTCTTGAGATGAATGTTTAGATTAATGATTTTTTTATAGCTTTTTAACTTTGTATCATGGATATTTAATGCTATAATTTTCCGTCTAGTCATTATTTTGGCTGCAACACACAACTTTATACTCATATTTTCTTTATCATTCAGCTAAAATACTTTCTAGTTTTCTCATATTTTGGTTATTTACTTTTTTTGATAGGTTTTATTTTCAATACGATTAAAGAACATACTCTATGTGAATGAGATTTCAATCATTTAAAATTTGTTAAATCTTTATAACCTAGCACACAGCAAGTTTTGGTAAATGTTTCCAGGAACTTTAAAATCATGTGCTTTCTTTAGTGAAGTGGTATTGTTTATGTCAATTCAGTCAAGTTTAATAGTTGTTGGTCAAGTCTTCCACATACTGCTCATTTTTCTGTCTGCTTGCTTATAGGTACTGGGAGCGTGGTATACTAAAATTTTCCATTATGAATGTAGAAATCTTCTGTTCATTTTATCCCACCAATATTTGCTGTATATATTCTGAGACTATGTTGTTAGACAGATGCGTACACATTCAGAAATGTTAAAGCGTTCATGGTGTAGGCCTATAATCCAAGTACTCTGGAAATCTAAGGCAGAAGGATCACAAGTTTGAGCCTAGCCTCAGTAACTTATCAAGACCATCTCAAAATTTAAAGGGGGGGTGCTGCTGGTAGCTCAGTGCAAAGGCCCTGGGTTCAATCCCCAGTATCACATACACGCACACACACAAAAAAAGGCTAGAAAGGAGGGAGAGAGGAAGGGATGTTCCAGATTATAGGGATTTTGACTTTTACTAATTTAAAATATCTTTTTATCTTTAGCAATGTCCCTTGCCTTATTTTGTCTGATAATAGTACACATACATTCAAAAGTACACATACTTTTTGTTAATCTCATGGAATTTTTATTCCATTGTTTTTACTTATTTCAGCACTTAAAGATATCATTCCACTGTCTCCTGACTTCTCTTATTTCTGTTGAAAAGTCAGCTATCTAGGGGCTGGGGAGCTAGCTCAGAGCCTGCCTTGCAAGCACAAGGTCCTGAGTTTAATCTCCAGTTCTGGCGAAAAAGAAAAAAGAAAAAAAGAAAAGTCAGCTATCTATCTTACTGTGGAAAGTAACATGGCTTTTGCATCTGGTTGCTTTCAAGATTTTTCTCTTTGCCATTTTCATCAGCTTTAGTACAGTATAACTAAGGGGTTTCCTTTCTATTTGTCTTGAAGTTTTAGCATTTGTTTAACCTCTCTTCAGTCAGTGTATTTCATCAATTCTGAAGATTTCTCTGCCATGCTCTTAACTATTGCCTGTGTGCCACATTCAATCTCCATTTCTTGTGGAACTCTAAATACAAGTGTATCAGACCTTTTCACTATATTTTTCATCTGTCTGTTTTCCTATTTTATACTTTTTGCTTCTGCAAGCTTCAGTCTGTATCCTTTCTTCTGGTCTACTTTCCATTTCAAGCATTCATTTGTTCAACTTTTCTAATCAGGTAGAACTTTACCTGAAGTAAATCAGTCAAGTAGTATACAAAGGAGTTGTCATTTTTTCAACATACTTTACTAGATAAAGTTTTTGTCCAATAACTGTGTGAGCACTACTTTCAAAAACACAGAATCTACAAATACTAATATTACCTAAAATAGTAATGAAAGTGAAAATTATCAAATCAATATCAGTATCTCTTTACATTTTACCACCAGTACTATTATAATCACATTGTGAGTAGACAGAATGCTTCCAGTAAATTATACAGCAACTTTGTGACCCCATCTTTAGTCCATGTAAGCTTGGCTCTTCATAATATCCTAGACTACTGGGCTTTTTGCATTATCTCTTATAAAGTTTTTTTCAGTGCTAACATACATATGTTCTACCAGTTATTTTTGTAGAATCCAGCAAGACATTTGAATGTTGTGGGGCAATTCATTATGATTATACACGGAACTAAAGGATATTTAGCTTCCCTGGCCAGTTGACCAGGAGCATCACCTTAATAGATTGTTAAGAAAAAAATGATTTTTCCAGCTAAAGAAAAGGTTTTGAATGTTTTTACCACAAAGAGATAATAAGATTGAGGAAATAGATATGCTTACTCCAGTTTGAATTTTACACACTTGAAACATCATATAGTAACCCCTATGTTCAATTATTATGAGCCAATTAAAAATTATTTTTAAAGCAAAAGAATGCTTTCATAAATTTCCCAAATATCTTCTAGGTGTTATTATCATCTTTTTTTTGGAAACTCTTCATTAGATCTATAAGACATAAGATCCTTAGGCCAGAGTATGTGTGGATCATCACTAAAGGAGCCAAAGGACAGTATGGGCCAGTTACATTATGGTTTCAGTCACTTCTCACATCTGGACAACTCCTAACGACATCCTAAAATCTAGGTTAAATAAGTTAGTGTTAACATTCAGGATACAATAAAAAAGTCAACATGCTGACGCTTTTTCTTCGGTTAGGATGAGAGTGCTCATAAGCTGGCTGGAAGTCCCCTTTAGTAATCATAACCTCTTGCATAGTCAATTACAGAGCACCAGGAACTGCATAATTTTGATTATTTATCTTAGTTATCTCAGCAACCCTATAAAGAAATTATTATTGCCAATTTGAAGATAAAGAAATGAGAGTTTAGAAAGTAAAGGGTTGTCCAAGAGTTTTTTAAAAATATTACGAACTTCTATGATTCCATTGCATTTCCACTGGTCCACATAAAGCCTCCAGTATTTTTAAAAATCGTATGCACTGCCCTCTCTTCCACTTCAGTCCCTGCCCTTCTGAAGTAGAAGGGAACAACCTGATTGGAAGCATTTGAGGAAAAGAAAAGTGGGCTCTGGGCTTGCCCAGGACACCCACCCTCCTAGGTCTGCAACACAGTAGCTTTTTTATATTTCCCTGATCCTTGTAATCCAGACTTCAGGGCACTCTGAACCTCACTGTCCCTACCACTACAACAGTGCCAGTTCCAAAGCCCTTCGCTACTTCCTCCCCCACACAGCCCCTCCAGCCGTGGGTCTGACAGACCCTTTACCCCTAGCCTAGCTACCAGTTCACAACCAGGCCCTGGGCTCCAGGCTCCAAATTCCCGCCTCAGCAGGGGCTCTATGGGCGACCCCATTTGCTGCGCAGGCGCACTTGGGGAAATTCCCGCCCAGAGCTCAGTGTTTGGGGCTGGCAGGGCCTGCCTCCGTTCCCTTGGCAACGAAGTACACAAGTGTGAGCCTTAACCGCGCGCACGATGTGCCTCAGCAAAGCGGGTGAGGAGGGCTACAGAAAGTCCAGAAGAGAGGGCAGACAAGGGTGGGGAGCCTGGGAAAGATGAAGGAGGAGGAAGTACACTTCGTCCCCTCCGCGGAGTTCTGTCTGGTTTTTTAAGAGCTCAGTGGGCCAAGCCCTCTGCTCCACCTGCCCTTCCCTGCCCTCTCAGAACGCAGAACGCTTTCGCAGAGACCAAGATGCCTTCCCTCACCTGTAGTTTCTCCCCTTTCCTGATCTTTAGGGACTGTCAATGACTACTCCTTTGGAACACGTCAACAGAGGAAGCTCTTTCCTCTCTACCATCCTCCAAACCGATTGGGGAATTATTTTCCCCCTCTTAGAGGATCGCCTCACACAGGCCCTGGGCATTACATATCAGAAGACGTGAGTACTGACCTCCCTTCCCTTGGGTGGGTCTCATTTCCCTGGATATGGAAAGATGCCCACGTTTCCTGAAAGAAAAACTCCAGGATTTTTAAATTTCTGGGTCCCGACACGAGTAAATTCCCTGGTAGGCAGCTAGCCGTTAGAGCCAATACAGAGACTAAAAGACTAAGGCTCCAACCTTGCGGCCCTCACTAAATCGGGGCCTTGTCTCCATATAGATTTCACTCCATCCCCACCTCCAAAGGCCTGTCAGCCAATGCTAGTTTCCCTCCCTTCCGTCCTATCCTCTGGCTATTGTGTAAGACCAAGTTCATTTCTGAGGAACTCAAATTGGATTTATAGAAATGCCACTTATTTTTCTATCCAGCCACATCCTTTGCAAAGTTACATGTGTTATTTATGTATTGTTTATATGGTCTTGACCTTGAAATAGTGAAGGCATGAAAAAGCACAGAAGGTTCAGATAGAAGCATTCTAAGTTCACTCCATTTTGAAGGCTGTTCCCTGACTGTGTCATTGGTGTTTTTCTTTTTACTTTTTTGTTTTGGTTTGTTTTGTTTTTTGGATACCACTCAAAGTAGTATGGCCTGGCATACAAGCTGTCTAAGATTCCGACCAGTATAAAAGGATATGCAATTGGAGCCAGAACAGCTGTGAGGTTTAAGCCAGTCAATAAGGTAATGTACTGGGATGTTAGGATGATCTGGGTTGCTGCACGAAGTTTGGACTTTAGTATTGCACGTGTGTGAGTATCCTGGGGAAAGCAGAAAAGAGTTCGCTGAAGAAATGGTTCTAAGCCAGGGTTTCTGGTGCTGAGATACCTGAGGTTAAAATACTGGTAGCTAAGTTTATACACATTATATTATCTTCTTCATTAAAAAATAAATTCCAACTCTTCCATCCTTTTGTGTGATTGGACTTCAAGTCTTACATTTAGGATAGAATCCTAATCTCCTCTTGCCCCACCACTGTCCTGGAGATTGAACCCAGGGCCTTGTGTACTGGGCAGGTGCTAGACCTTGTGTACTGAGGTACATAGCCAACTAAAGATCCCTAATCTCTTGTTGGATGCTTCCTGACATGTAAACTCAAGGACTAGGGATACTGCCTCTAAAAATCTCTCAGTGAGGTGGTAGATGTAGTGGTTGCCTTCATTTTCTACGCATCCTCGTTTATTTCTACAACTGAAGCATTATGTATCCTTAGAGTGCCAAACAACATCCATATATTGGATTTCTACATACGTAGGCCTATTTCTATATCTTCAAGTGGCCAAGCCATAGCTAATTTATAAACAGGCAGAAGTTATTGGTATTTTTTTTTAACCTGGAAGGCTTTATGTGTATATATACAATGTCCTCTAATACACTGATTTTTTTCTTGGCAACAGGATGTGACACCTTGCCCAGGCAAGTACCAGAAGGCAAATACTTCAGAGGAAAAGCACAAACAAAATTTTGCTGCATTCAATGTCTTGATGCCTCGATCTGGACAATTTTCAAAGGACACTTCTTATCCTGGGTATGTCTCCTGTTTTCTGGTGCACTTCAGTGAAAGGAAGCACATACAGCACCGATTACATCCAAACCATCCCAGCTAAATAAGAAACCATTCATCTTTAAAGATCTAACTTCTTGCTTCCCAGGTCTCTGGCATTTATATTGCAGATTTGTAGTTATTCATTCAATAAATATTTGTAAAGTGCCAGAAATCATGCAGTAAACTCATCACACAAGGCTGGTGGATTCCTGGAGCTTACATTCTAGAGTCCATACAGATGAGAAGCAAATACTCAAGAAAATACCAACCAATAGTAGTAAATAAAGAAACCTTATAATTTATCAGTCAATCTGTGACACTTCTGAGAGTGAAAGAGGCCTAGTAATAATTAGATCAGGACAGTAGCTGTAAGTTAGGACTGTCATGGGCAAACAAGGAAGTATGGTAACCTGAATATGCATTATGAAGAAAATAAAACAGAGTAATGATATAACAGATTGATGTGCTGAAGGCTTTTTCACCTGGGTTTTCAAGAAAGGGCACTGAACAACTGATATTTGATCTGAGATCTAAATGGCAAGACTGAGCCAGCCCTGCAAAGAACTGGAGGCAGAACATCCCAAGTAGAAGGAACAGCAAATACAAAAGCTATGAGTTTGGAAGGAATTTGATGTGAAAAAAAAGGAAGAAGGCTAATGTGGCTAGAATATAGTGATAAAGGAGGAAACAAGAAGTGAGAAGAGAAGTAGGTTAGAGTATATAGAACTTGTAGGCTAAAAGACTTATTCTAAATTCTTCAGGAAACCATCTAAAATCAATGAAATTGTAGGACAACTGGCCATGATCTTTCTTTTGCTATAAGAAATCCAAAGATTAGAGAGTAAATGTAACTTTCAAAGCTTGCATTAAGGAAGATTAAGTATTATGTCCTGACCCCCATGTCCACTCTGTTATTTCTCCCACAATAGACTGTACAGTGACTCTACAACAAAAGACAAAGTGTTATGATCAAAGGCAATTCTAAAATAATCTGTTGTGAAGAAAATTTAACTTGATCTGTTTTACTATCTCTGTATTACAGATAGAATGTCTCTTCACTTCAATCACCAACTTCAAATTGTGAAGTACACTTATCACTGTTGTAGATCTCTTTCATCACCTGCCTCTTCTGGCATCTACTTGTCTCTCAGATAAGGACATTGAGTTGCAGAAACATATTTTAAACTAGAGTTGGTCTTTATCTGAATGTCAAGATTGGCTACATTTAACACTAACATCTAGACATACATTAACAGATGAATGAACTCCATGCTTGCCTGACATTAAAAAGTTTGTAAGCCTGTTGCCTTTACCCAAGGGTTAGACCTAGTTCATACATGGCTGTGCTACAGATGGATTTCCTGTATGGTCACTAATTCATTAAAATGAATGTTCCTATTTTCATTTCTAGCCCTGGCACTTACAACCCAGAGAAGAAGCCTCCTCCAAAAGTTGCTTGGCCAATGAAATTTGGATCTCCAGACTGGGCTCAGGTTCCATGTCTGCAGAAAAGAACTCTAAAAGCTGAGGTAATAAAATTGGACTTCTGTGGACCATTTAATCTACTATTTTCATATGTATCAGGGGTTCTTAACCAAGAGTCCACAAATAAACTTCAGGAAATCCATGGTCCCCTGAAATTATATATACAATTTTGTGTATAGATGAATATGAGGATCTTTTTGGAGAGTTATGTAATTTTATTCGATACTTAAAGGTATATATGACTGATCAAAGTCACATTTTCTTATTTGACTCTCAAATAATCTTTTGGGATAAGTACAGGAGAAATATCCCTATATGACAGAAGAGGATACTGAGGCCAGAGGGATCAAGTGATTCGTGCAGGCTGTGGGGCTGGAATCCAGATTTAAGATTCCTAGTACATCTCTTGAATGTTAGATCCCCAGAGAGCTGGAGAACACTCCAATTAAGAACATGGATTCTAGGAGCAATATGGCCTGTGTTCAAAGATTAGCTCCAGTATGGACTTGCTGTATGATCTTAGACAAGTCCTGTAACTTTTCTAAGCCTTAATTTTATATTGTAAAATCAATATAATAGTAAAATTGACAAGACTGTAGAGATTAATAATTGAGATGATATTAAAAATATTTAATGTAGTACCTGATAACATAACATAGGCTTGATCCATGTTAGCGATCATAAGTTACGAGGTACTTTTTTTTCTAGTGGAATTCAGGATTAATTCCACAAACATTTATTAAATGCATAATGTATTGTCACTGTGCTAGGGCCTATGGGAACATTCAAGAATTAACACATTCACAATGGGGCTGTAATTCATATATCTCACTGCCAGACAGCTCTGATTTGAATTTCATCATTTGATGTTAAATAGCTAACCCCACTGGTGGTTCAAGCCACCTGAAGCCAGTGGGAACATGTTAAACATATTATCCTTATCTTCAAAAGGCCTACCAACTACTAGAACATTTACCAAGCAACAAATAATTCCTAACATAATATATACCACAGCGAAATGATAAAGGATAGTGGTGCACAAATATTGTGAGAATTACTAAGACTAGATTACTATAGGGTCAGGGTTTAGCTGGGCCTCACAGCTATAATTTGCACAGCCAGGAAGACTAGAAACAGAAGATTAGAATATTGAACTGGACAATATTCTTTCATTGCAGTTGTCCACAGACAGAGAGTTTAGAAAGCATCGGAACCATGTTGCCTACTTAAGACTGTTTTACAACTGAGATGTGGTCACTACCTTCATGTGCTCCTCCTGACCATAGAATCTCCAGGATTGAAGATAGAGCTGTTCTTCTCCTGCATTACTGTGCCCCTCTTATCTGCCAGCTTGGAGCCTAGGGAGGAGCAAGGGGCTCATAACTACTATATCTGAGCATGATAAAGACTGATTCAGAATGTTCTAACACCATCTGCTGGTTTGTGATCTGGGGGAGTCTTCTTGGGTGTTCATATGGGCCCACGACTACCACAGCAGTCCCAGACTCCTGAAGAAAGTGGTGGAAATATCTGTTTTGGGATAATCTAAGCTGAGAAGTGAAATCTCCTCATTGTTGGCATGTCAGAGAGTAACATTCTTTGAGGAAGATGTCTCCCATAATCCATAGGGGTTGTCCACTGGGGAAGCTCAGGTAAGTGGCCTCAACCCCAAGCCTGCAAAAACCATTGTTATGCAGAGACAAAAGACATAAAGATATAACCAGCTGCACTGTAGAAACCTTTTCCCATAGAAACTTCACTGCTTTATATTCCATGACATCTATGAAGACTCTAAATTCTTGTTCATTGTTGCCTTGGCCCCTGGTGATCCCCCATAGTTACTGTGGGCTAGGATATAGAATGTTCAGGTGCTTGAGTCCATCTGATCACAGTATCCAGGAAGCCTCAGAGTGAATATGTGCATTGGAAACATAGGCAGATGATGGCAGAGGGAACTGAGACCCACCAACAATGAAAGTCATAAAGACCTTGCAATGTCCATAGCTACAGTTGACCACAAACAGAGGGAAAGGTGAAGCTGAGGAGCTCCAGGGGACTGGGAGCCCTGGCAAGGGGCCTAAGCCCCACTTCCTTCCTGTGAGTCTCCTGGGAGATTTTGTCCTTTACTTTTCAGCAGAAGATGGGAGACCTGACCTGATTCCCAGGCACAACCCTTACCAGCTCCTCTTGATTTCTTGAGTCCTCTCCTTAAATACATCTCAGCTCTTGAATGTTGGTTGTATTGGTATAGCTATAAAGAATGAAGCTCACTCTAGAACACTGTATCTAACCTCAGATAGTAAAAATTAGAGAGGAGGCACAAGTAATTCACTTTTAGAAGCATCAGGTCCACCTTTTGTGCAGGTATCCACATACTACAGTGCATGCACATCCAACACATCCAACACCTGAGGAATTAAGATTTAATTTGGGCATAGACTCTTACATGCAGGGAAAAGTAAACTACAGACAGGAGTACAAAGGGAAGCCAATATGAGTAGAGAAGACTACTCAGAGTAACGCCCAAAGGTGTATTTTCAGGGAAGAAAGAAATCAAAGAGAATTTTTAAAAGGTATTGCTCCCTGGCTATAATATTTCAAAGCAGTCAAGTGACACTGGTCACATAAATCTCCAGTTTGCAACTATGACCTGAAATGGGTTAGCAGCACCTTTTGACTCATCATCACACCATAAGTCTGCAATGGAGCTGGCACTGTTCCCTCCTCATCTTTCCTTGCATTAAGGTTCATGTATGAAATGCCATGCTATGTCCCCACCTAGTCTTTTCTGCTAGGGGCTCAGGTCATCCACTCTCTTCCTGGTCTCTTTTGTAAATTCATTGCATTCAGGCTTCTGTGTTGAGGCTACTTGAATGTGCAGAGAAGTCTTTGGCTTTTGATTACTCACATTACTGTTCTGAACTTTCTGGCCTGGTGTTATCTGCAGAAAGAAGCCCATGTACTGCTAGGAACAGCTAACAGAGATCCTCCTACCCACTGTGGTCTGTGGAAGCACACATTAGTGGCCTCATTACAGATGAAAAATGTTAGAAGAGCATGGAGATAAAGAGAATCAAGTGCCTCGTCTACAAATATGGGTCTACAAATAAGAGCACAGCAGCTCCTCATTTTGCCTTTTCCAGGAAGGCAGGTCAACCGTATTACACATGTGCCCATGTAACACTTCTCTGCATTTGTGATTATTGAAATACTATCCTCAGCCCTGGCCTGCTGTTCCCTCTATCTGTAACTGCAATCTCTTGGGAGACAATGTCTTGTCTTTTTCAGTTTGCTCTATGGAGTCCAGAAGAGAGCACCAAATACAGTCAGGGCATATAATTAATTAATAAATGTGTTTTAACACCTACTATGTGCAAGATAATCTTTCAGGGATTACAGTGATTCAAGGATAGGGTGGTTCATTCTTACTTTTTTTTAACTTGCAAAGACATATTCATTTATCATTTATTTACTTGCTTCCTTACTTATTTAGTAGTATCTTGCTGTTTAGCAGGTTATTCTCAAATTCCTGAGTTCAAGTAATTCTCCCATCTCAATTACTTAGAGTGTTGAAACTATGGTGCATACCAGTGTACTCAGCTAAAAGATACCTTATTTATTATATTTTGTTGAATCATTAACATTGAAATAGTAGCCAACAAAACTATGATCTCATGCCTGATCGAAGCTCATGTAGCTTTTTTTACATACTCTTGCTTTTTGTTCTTACTGTTTCTGAGGAGCTTATTCTAATAGAGATGACACAACACAGTACATTAAGCCATATGACCAACACCATATGACAATAGTGTTTAAATTCTGTAATACAGCACATAAAATCTTACATGATTCAGTCCTTAATTTCTTGTCCAGATTTTTCTGCTGCTCTACTTTTCATCTTCTTTCACATAAATTTTTGGGTACTATATGAAAGCCAAGCATCATTCAAGGTTCTTGTAGATGCAGTCAGCAGTGACTAAGACAGAAACCACAGTCCAGTGGAGAGGCCAAACACAACAGAAACAAAAATAATGTTTAATTGCAGCCTGGATGTGCCAGAGAATGGGGAATGTGTCTATTCTGGGGTGACACTGGGGGTCAGACAAGGAGTTTTCTGAACAAGTGACACTAGAATGAGTAGAATTGGACCACATGAAAAACACAATTTCATCCCAAGCACAGCAGACTAGACTTCGCCCCCCTGGATGTACCAAGCTCTTTCCTTCCTTTACTCTCGCACAATGGACTGTTCCCCTTTCCCAATGCAATGACAAGATCATTAACTGTGTCAGGAGCACAGGTTAGAACCTATGCTGTTGAAAGTGAGAAACCACTGTGCACTGGGCTGCTTGAGAGGGCTTTGGCAATGGAGGGTGGGAGTATGGGGGTGGGATGAAATTAATCTGGACTTTGAAGAATACCTAAAATTCAAGTAAGCACTGCAGGAGGTATGATCAAAACAAGAGAAGTAAGGTTATAGCAAGGCATGTGGAGTAGAAGTTATAAAGGAAGTGGACAAGATGTATGGATGGGGGAGAACTTATTTTTGTATTGTGTCTTGAGGATGGGTCAGATTCTTGTCTTTAATTTCTATGTGACAGAGAAATCTTGAGGGCTTTTGAATGTAGACATAACTAATTCATGCCCATGAGGTTTGGGACCAGATAAGCTTGTGCTTAAATTTTGGCCTTATGAACATAACTTTAGATAAGTTATTTAGCTACAAACCTTGATTTCTTTTTCCACAGAAGGAAATATATTGCTGATCTTCTTATAGTGTTGGTGTGGAAATTATGTTCAATAATGTATTTAAATTGCTTAGCTAATATTTGTTATATATTAAAAATCAAGACAGCTATTATTTTACTAAAGGTGGAGCTGGTAAAAATGGTGCTGATGAGGATAATGAAGGTCCTGAAGACATGGATTTGATACATGTATACATCATATAATAATTCACACCGTATAGGCATGACCTGCCTGCTCACATGCTCAGGCCCAGCAATCTCTTTAAAAAGGTCAGAGAAGGGCCAGGGATTTAGCTCAGTGGTTCCGCCACCTGCCTCAAAAGCCCAAGGTCCTGAGTTCAATCTGCAGTACCAAAAAAAAAAAATCTTAAGAAAAATTCAGACAAGAGCTAGAAGCCAGAGCCCCAGGATCATCTCGGCTTAGAGGTTTGGAGATTGTTCAAGAAATGTTTTCCTAATGACAGTAGTAATAGTGGAAGATATGTTGAGTGGGCTATCCCTGTGGTGGCATTCACTACATAACCAATGGAGCATTCCCTACCACCTTGTTTGATAGGCCATTCTCAGGATCCCAGCAACTTCTGAATAGAAGAGAATGCAGGGTTCATTCTCATTTAGGCCAATCTCCTGGCCATTGGTGATGATGTTGTGTGCCTACAGCAAGCAGACAATATGGCTTGAAAATTCAGGTGAACAAATCTTTTCCAGTCTTAGGTACTTAGAGTCTAGAGCCTAGAAACTCTCCTGGAGAAAGAAATTAGCTTCTTTCATCCAGAGCTCAACCATGAGGTAAGAGCAGAATGTGAAAGGATAACAGTGTCACATGTATATCTTGGGGGAAAAGGAGATGTGTTTTAGTATATGTGCTGCCAAAGTGAGCACAAGGAGATGTGTTTTAGGGAAGTAGAGAGGTGGTTGTTCTCTGGAGGTACCAAGGTAACAGAAACTGTGGTTGTTTGACCTAAAACTCTTGTGCCCAGATTACGAAGTCCCAAAGACCACCAGGAAGCCATTTCTGATGTAAAAGCACATGAGGGTCATTTATTCAAGCTTAAGCAGGGACTCTCAATTGTCACCGACACAGCGGATCGAGATTGAGAGCCCCAAGTTCCAAAATAGCGGGGTTTTTATAGAGGTTACAGCAAGGTTTGGAGATTTTCCACTTAGCAATTACAATGATTGGTCGGCGCTTAACATGCATGAAGTGTACATTTCTGATTGGCTGAACTCATCAGGGGTAAGGGGTGATTACGTATAGGTTTTACAAAAGAAAAGAAGGACAAAGGTTAGTGGGCAACTGTCACGTATTGATGGTCAGCAGACACGGTGACTAATGGTCACGACCACCCAGTACTGACAGTCAGCTTATTGACAGATTGTTCCTACAGATAATGGGCCCAGGATGTTCATTTCCTGGGTAAACAGATGGCTGAGTAATAAACTTAGGAATCTTGTGTTACAGATTGTGTCTTTTGTCCTAGACCAAGCACATTTTAATCATTAATGTGAGAGGACAAAGGAGACTACTCCATTTTGGGCAAAATGGAGTCATTCTCGTCTCACATAAGCAAAATGGAGTCACTTTGGTCTCACAAAACAATAAGGAAATAGTGAAAGGGCGCATTTTCAAATATCAAAAGTGCAATTTTGTGGAAAAGCAAGCAGATTCATTCAGTGTGGTTTCAGAGGGCAAAGTTAAAACTACATCCATGTAGCTGGTGATGGGCTTATAAGTAATGACATCATTGTTCAAAGAGTACTTGACAGCTGGATCAACTTTTGGGTTGTTCATTAGGAATCGATTCAGTACACCCTGTTGCTCTATTGCCTGGCAGTTAGACTTACTTTTCTTCAGAAGGATTACAGAGCCTCTGCCCCCAGCCCTGCGCCGCTTCCCGCGTGACCAGGCTCTGCAGCCGCTCCAGTCTCGCTGCCACCGCCCCTGGGCCTCGCAGCTTCCCGGGCTCCCGGGGTCGTCCGCGGTGGGCGGCGCGAGCAGCTGCCCTGGCGGAGCTTGGGCTCCAGGAGCAGTTTCCAAGTGCACAGACGCCGTGCCCCGCAGGAGGAGCTCAAGAATGGCAGCGGGGCCTGGCGGTGGCCCAGGAGCTGGGGCTTCTGTTCCGTCACCGCGGACGCCTCCCCCTCCCCAGCCCCCCCGGGCCAATGGGGCGGGTGAAGCGAAGCCAGAGAGAGCCAGATGTCCTGGTCACTAGCTCGTTTTTCCAGAGTGACAAGTGATTACAAGTCCTTGCTGCCTTCCCTTAGGAATTAGCAATAGGCACCAGGAAATGCTCCTAGAAGAAACACTATTGAGATTCACATACAGATGTCTTCATATTGAGTTCCAGA